CGCTGGACTCTCTCCAGTAGCTCCTCATCTTTCTTGAACTGGGGAGCCCAGCACTGGACACAGCACTGCAGATGGGGCCTCCCCAGGGCAGAGCAGAGGGGGTGGAGAACCTCCCTCGCCCTCCTGCCCACACTCCCCCTCATGCATCCCAGAAAGACCTCAAAGATCATCAAGTCCAACCAATGGACAGGCGGTGGTGGTGGGTGGCTGAGTGGGCTGCAGGTGTAGGACCCCGGGGTGGTTCACCTGATGGGGCGGGATGCACCCGTGCCGGCGGTCAGCCCGTGCCCCTCTCCCAACAGACACGGTAGACCTCACCTGGTGCGTCATCTCCGACATGGAAGTCATCGAGCTCAACAAGCGCACCTCGGGGCAGTCCTTCGAGGTCATCCTGAAGCCCCCGTCGTTTGATGGCATCCCCGAGTTCAACGCCTCCCTGCCCAGGCGGCGTGACCCATCCCTGGAGGAGATCCAGAAGAAGCTGGAGGCGGCGGAGGAGAGGAGGAAGGTAGGTCTGGTGGCTTGTGCGCATCACTGCAGTGTGGGGACGTGCCATGGGGTCATGCAACCATGCGCTTGGGGTCCTCAGCAAGGCACACCCACTTCTGGGGACATTGCGGAGTTTGAAGGGATGGTTTTGGCCAGGAGGGTTAAGGAACCCATGGTCTACATGGCCATCGTGTCCACTTTGCCCATGCAGTATCAAGAGGCTGAGCTGCTGAAGCATCTGGCGGAGAAGCGGGAGCACGAGCGGGAGGTGATCCAGAAGGCCATCGAGGAGAACAACAACTTCATCAAAATGGCCAAAGAGAAGCTGGCGCAGAAGATGGAGTCCAACAAGGAGAACCGCGAGGCCCATTTAGCGGCCATGCTGGAGCGCTTGCAGGAGAAGGTGAGAGCCCGGTGAGGAGGGAGGGGGGAACGCGCCGGGACACCGGTCCCAGTGGGTATCACAGGACCCTTGGGCACCCTGCATGGCTCTCGGCGTGGCATTACCCCCTGGGGACACCACCAAAGTGGGGGGCCCCCCCCTTGCCTTCCCACCACGCAACGTCCCACCTGGGGTGGGGGTTCCTGCCCGGGGACCCACCGAGCCTGACGCAGGCTCACGAGCGGTCGGCGGGTGGAGAGCTGGGACCCGTACCTTGTCCACAGACATGCGAAGCCTTTGCGTTCCCCGTGTCCCACCATGACGGCCTTGATCCACCACTTGGAATTTTCCCATCTCCCGGGTGGCAGATCTTCCCCTGGTCCCTTCCCCAGAGGCCGCGGAGCCGGCAGCTCCCCGGCAGAGCTGGAGGCATCCGTGCTGCCGCGCTAGGAGATGCTTCCACCCTGCCAGCCTGTGCAGACCTCTTCTCTCTCCCCGAAGCAGGTCTGTTCCCAACCTCAGCACGGAAGGTCCCACCCTCACCACCTCCAGCTCCCTCCAAAACGTCCCTTCTGCAAGGAGCTCGCCCAGTGCCCTTCTCCAAACGCCTCAGCTAGCCTTGGGTCAGAGGCAGAGAGCACGAGATAATGAAGGACAATCCCAGCTCACCCCATCTCCTTGGGGCTCCCGGTCCATCCCGTCTGGTTGACGTCTACCTCCTAGCTAGAGGGCGAGGACAATCTGTCCCCGAGTGCCTCCACAGTCCTTAAATCACCCCGGGGGAGGAGAGGACGCTGTTGACCCGTCGGTAGTGTCCCTCAGGGGATGAACCTCGCGAACGCCCTCGTGCCTTCGAACCCCTCCGAAGCTGCTGGCCTGCCCATGGGGACCCCGAAGTCCAGCTAATGCACGTGTGTGTGTGTCCCCCTTCCCTTCCCTCCTACCCCCCTTCCCACAGGACAAACACGCGGAAGAAGTGAGGAAAAACAAGGAGCTCAAGGAAGAAGCCTCCAGATAAAGAGGCGATGGTTGGACTGACAGCTCCGGGGAGGTGGCGGAGGCTGCCGCAGCGCAAGGTCGGATGGTGGAAAGGGTTGGACGTTCCTCTGCTTTCTTTTGTTCGTGAATGTGAAGAGTTGACCAGTGAAGCCATCCGATTCGTTTTCGGGGAGGGT